CCCCAGAGTCACAACTCTTACTACTTAGCGTTAGATAGGGTGACAGTATATTATGAAATAAACTTCCAATTTTGTCCATTTGAAGAAATATCCCAAATAAACTTGCTTTATTGTTACTGTTTTCTAAAGCTTATTCAGTACACATACCTTGGTACTGGTCTTAACTGCTTTGTGAGGTTTTAAAGGGGTTTGGAGATCATTATCGAGGATGAATATCCTAGTTGGGTGGAGATAATTTCTTCCAAAATAGAGTTTTAAAGTCATTGTTCCACCTGTCATTCACTAAATAATACTTACAATCATTCACGTGCATATATATTCTAGTTACGTTTTTTATTGTTGACACTATTACCGATGTCCCCCATTTTCTCCCCTTCTCCTCCCTCCACTCCACCCCAGGCCTTTATCACACCACTGTCTGTGTCAATGAGCCATATATATATATATATATATATATATATATATATATATATATATATATATCTGTTCTTTGGTTAAACTTTTTCTGTCCCCCCTCTAGTTACATTTTGCTTCACAAAATATTTTATGTACCTTTACAATATCTACAGTCCATCTTCCAGTCATTTAGTCTTCTCATATACATTTGTCAGTGAGCAAAAATGAGCCACTTTTTGTATATTATAACCTTCAAAAGTAATTTAGCCGAAACCGGTTTGGCTCAATGGATAGAGCGTCAGCTTGGGGACTGAAGGGTCCCGGGTTCGATTCCCGTCAGGGGCATGTACCTTGGTTGCAGGTATATCCCCAGTAGGGGGTGTGCAAGAGGCAGCTGATCGATGGCTCTCTCTCATCGATGTTTCTAACTCTGTATCTCTCTCCCTTCCTCTCTGTACAAAATCAATAAAATATATTAAAAAAAATAATTTAAACTCTTTTGTATAATATCTAAAACTCCATTATTTTATATTGTTACACAAGTTTAATTTATGTGTAAATGCTTATTCTAGAAGGATAAGAATTAAAAAAAAGAAAAAAAACCAAACCATAAATTTGGTATTTATCTTTCCCATCTCCTTGATCCCAAAGTACTATATGCCAGAAATTCTGTAAAACCACTCAGCAATTCATTACTTACAGAAATACTGTGAAGTTAGTGCTTAATATCTGCCAACGAAAATGTCATAACCTTTAATTAATTATGACATTAAGTTCTAAATTATAATATAAAATTGTGAATTGAGCTGTTAGCAGTATTCCTTGTCAGATGCATATTTAATAAGCAGAATTATTCTAAAAATGTAATCGTGCCAAAAGGTGAACAAATTAAAACATCAATTTATATACACATTTTTGGTCAACTGCATGAAGTAAAGGAACATATACTAGTGTAAGATAGTATTTTATTTTTAGAACATATTTTAGAGAATAAGAAATATATTATTTACTACCACCTACTAGTTAACATATAGTATAAAAATAAACATTTTATAATTAATTTTTTCTAGATGAAGGAAGCAGATGAGAGCACAGGATCTGGAGATGGGCCAGTGAAGTCAGTACGCAAAAGAAGAGTACGGAAGGAGTAAATGCTATTCAAGTATTTTTAATTCCTGAGAGAAATGTGGCATTCTAAAATCAGTGTGCCAGAACTGAACTTGAATCAGTCTGCACATCCTGTTTTTAATATCTAGTAATGCTACATATAATTTCAGACATCCATTATAGTCTTTTCAGGAAAAAAAACAGAAACTTTGAAGTTACCTGGTCTTTGAATTCAGAATAAGAGAAAAGTGGCAAGTTATATATCTGATTTAAGAGATTAATATCATAAGAAGTTACACAGTTTTAATAGTTTGGAGAAAGTTTTGGTTTGTACAGAGCAAAATAATATGCAGCAGCTTTCATGCTTTTGGAAAAATCAGTTATTGGAATTTCCTCTTGAATGGCTATACTACAATATATCTGGTAGTTCTACAATATAAACGAGTGTTCTGTTGTACAGAGCTAAATGCAATAAAGTTTCTCTATGGTTGTTTAAGTCTATTAACATTTGATAGTGTTGTGTGTGATCCACATTTACCTTGTTTGTGTCAAATTATAGTTGTGGTTCATTCACTTATTAGTAAATTACAGATTTCTTTAAAGTGGTGCTTTGATGGCCAACAGGTTAACAAAACAGAAATGTAAGTGTCATTCACAGACTTACTGGTCAGTAGTGCAGCACAATTTAGATTTGAATACAAAGATAATTGATTCATCGAAACAATAGATTTTCCCCCCACACTTTTATAATGTTTTATGCCAGAATGTTGTACCCTATTTATAATATTGCTTATGTGTACACTACTCTCAAAATAGAATTTAAATATTTTTCTTCTTTAATTTATATCCCTTTTTTATATCCTTTTTAATAGGTGAGCTATTATTGGGAGGCTTTAAATTAATTTTCTGTGCATTAAGAAATTCTAATGGCTAATAGATGTGCTTTATATTTCTGTCTTGCTTTTTTTCCTGACAAATTTAAATCTGTTCATCTAGCTTCAAAGCTACCTCTAAGGTGGATAGAAGCAACTATTACTATTTCTCTTTTTAAACTACAGTAATTACCAAAAGTCATAGAATCCTATCTAATAAAGAGGGAATATGTTAATTGACCCTTACACCATCGCAAATATAGTGGTGTCCACAGCCAATAAGGAGGGAATATGCAATTGATTGCCCCACCCTCAAAGATGGTGGTGCCCATGGCCAATAAGAAGGGGATATGGTAATTGACTGCCTCACCCTTAAAGATGGCATTGCCCACAGCCAATAAGGAGGGAATATGCTAATTGAATGCCATGCCCTCAAAGATGGTGGTGCCCAGACCCCTCAGTCCCACCTGGGCAGGGCAGGCCCAGCCACTCTGCGCACCTGCCTCTGGAGTCCCCTAGTCCCCTTAGCCCCTGAGGGCGTCTCAAGGCATAGGCAAGCCTCGGATAGTGGCTCCCCAGCCGCCCAGGGCCGGCCTGAGGCACAGGCAAGCCTCAGATGGCTGCTGCCCAGCTACCCAGGGCTGCCCAAGCTCAGATAACCAGGGATGGCTGAGGCTTGCGCTGCTGGCAGTGGCAGCAGCAGAGGTGTGATTGGGCATTGCCTTTGCCTGATTGCCAATTCACCTCCTGCCCTTGAGGGCTCCTGGACTGTGAGAGGGGGCAGGCCGGGCTGAGGTACCCCCCACCCAGAGCATGAATTTTCATGCACCGGGCTTCTAGTGATATTATAATGGAGCTGAGTTGTTCCACTTAAAATATTTTAAGAACTTTTTATGTTTGGGCAACAGGTTCTACCCTTTGGAAGGTGATCTAAATCTTTGAGACCACTATTTTAATACTATCTAAAAAACTTTATACTAATTGGGTACTATTTTAGATTCCTTCATGGATATACACACCCCATCTTTGGACAAGCACCAACTAAGTTCCCATGTACCCTCCTCACCAGTAGTGCATGTAGAGAGCATGCCTAGGAAAATGAGTCATTAGCTTCTTTTACTAAAGGAAGCTGAACATAGTCTTCTTATTTTAGGGAGTGAACTGAAAATGAAAATACCTTCTTTATTCCATTGATGTGTTCTGAACTTGCATAAATTGGTGCTGGCAATCTTAATACATAGTTAACCGTACTTTGTATAGATTTAATAATAAATGAACACATCTTGCAAGGACCTCTTTTCTTGCTTTGTATTTGGAATGACCAAAAGAACTGGACATATTGAATGATTCCAGATGAGAATGTTTCTGAAACTACTTCAGGAGACAAATCCTTTATTATGAAACCTTCTTATCTGATAGGTATCTTATATGCAAAAATTTTTTTCTAAAGATTAAAGGTATTTTTTGTTTGTTTGTTTGTTTTTTACTTCCTTGGTTGCAGATTTGCTTTAACATTTTGTTAAACTCCAAGAGCTCCCAGTGGTAAAATATGAGCAACCAGTTTTGCCAACTCATTGCTACTTTTGTGGATGTGCCCTCTGGGAATGTACCATAGCTGACAGGTTTAACCAATACTCTCATCAATGTATACTAGATCCATGCAGTAGACAGAAATGGTCTTCCTTAATCCCAAAATGGCTTTTTTCCTTTTACCACCCCAATCTGACTTGAAGATGACTTACATTTTGTCCTTTCTCTAACAAAGAGATTTTTGCTTTTATTTTAGTCTTTTAAGAGACTTTTTAACTTGACCAGGCTAATGTAGCTTCCTTTTTTTTGTATTTTTTAAAGATAGCCTTGGCACCACTGATTATGTCTCTAGGAAGACATGTTAGCAGAATAGTAGCCTTTCTCAAAACTTTGCAACTTGCCCCATGCACTTTTTCTGCAAATTAGAATGGTGATAATTAGTGTGACTTGGAAGTCATGGTTAAAAATGCCAGAGCCATCTTCAGTTTCTGCCAACTTGCAGCACTCACCTCAGACCATTAGTTGGGAGGGAAATTTCTTTATTATTTTATATTATTTATCACTCAATCACATCTTTTTGTGGAAGATTAGCCTAACTTAAAAAAATACTATGCTGAAAATGTTGGATCCTTCTTCAAATTCCTTTTATTTTAAAAATTAATGTATAATATCCTATAACATTTATTTAATGAAATTATTCCCCTACACATCCAGGAACTACTACTTAAGGAAGATACGCTACTTACCCTGTGGCTTTGAACAACCCTGGATAAACCACTACACCACCCAGTTAGTTAGGCAACCAAATCAAAACACACACAATCTCTCCACAAACAAACAAAAAACTAACATACGCAATTTCTGAAACAGTCTTTTATTAAACAGTAAAGCAAAACTGCAACACAATTTTAAACACTTGTAAGTTAGGTAACAAAAGGGTTGCAAAATTTTTTGCAGAATGATTATATACCAGTATAATCATATAGCTAAAGTCATTCATTGAATCGTACACAAATACAAGCATAAGATTATTCCATGATTAAAAGTAACCCAAATCTAGTAATTATAATTTATATTAATGAATCTCTTTTCCTATATTTTAATATTTTATATTAATTTCCTTAGCAAATGGAATCTACAAACTAAATTTTAAAAAACTGTTAAGGAATGATTAAAACTCTGCATACTAAGTAGCTGGGCTTACAGAAAACTCTGGGAGAAATAGTGAGATAAAATACTGAGAATATTATCAATTAGTTTACATGAAAATTCCCATTTTATTCATGATTCTGATACTAATACACTCAAAAGATTTTGCAAAAATTGATCTGCTAGATACTATAAATATACTTTGAGACCAAACTCTTTGTAACTATTGTAGATGCGGTTTACATAGGTGAGTCAAACTTAATCCACTTTCATATATATTCCCCAAAAGATCTAATCTGTGCCAGAGATAACACAAATCTGGAGTAAAAACATGTGGAGTTGATTACTACTATTTACTAAGTACTTTTTTCCATCCTATTTCTATTTTTCCTCAAAATTTTTGTATTTCAAACATCCGTACAACCAAAGCTCATCTTTTTAGATTCCAAATTATTTTGTGTAAAAGGAAGTTTTCAATAACAAAATTTTCCAACTTGCCAATTCAGCTTCAAGGAAAAAACCCCACTTCATTTTTATAGCTTGTTTTCAAATGATTAATGAAAACCAACAATCCTACCTAAATCCCAGTATTAAATACAGTCATGCACAGAGATACGTTCTGAGAAAAGCATCACTGGGGAATTTTGTTGTGCAAGCGCTACAGGGTGCACTTACACAAACCTAGATGATCCAGCCCACTATACACACGTAGGCTACACAGTATTCTAACTGTTGTATCTTTAGTCTGCCATGGACTGAAACATCCATTATGTGGGCGGGTGGCTGTATAATAACTAACAACCCCTAACTTTTGGTTAAGTTTCAACAATACTGTTCAGGTTACTCTCATCAATGACTAACTACTAAGATTGCTCTTACAAATGTGAAACCAGTTTTTCCTTCAGGATAAGGGAAATGGGAAGGAAGAAGCAAATGAAGAAGAGGCACAAGATGGTAGACAGGGTACATAAAGCTGTGCATTCAGAACATGATTTTGGTCACTTTTCACAACATGGTTATTTTCTTGTATCTCCTACTATATAATAAAAGACAGTGCTGAACCTAAATTTGATAAGACATCAAGTTTCATAAATATATGCATTTCTAATTATAAAGTCTCTACATTTTCATAGACTAACATAATACACAAATTCACGGAAGTCGGTTATGCTCTTACTTTTGCCTAGATCTGACATTATCTTCATAAATATTCAATGGAGCCACAAACAAAAGCACTATAACTTCTGGAATCTATCCAAGTTTTTTTTTAAAAAAGATCAGCAGCAATCCGTAACAGAGAAAGCATATAGATCTCTTACTTTCTTTTGCTTTTCGTATCAGTTGTTTGAAAAACACTAGAAGCTGACATGAGGTTTTCTATATATTGTCCAAGAACTTGGTTTTCTGATTTTAGCTTCAGATTTTCTTCCTTCACTGCATCTACCCTTGCAGAGAGGTCTATATGAAAAATAAAAAAGCCCATTATCGATAACATGATGGCAATGTTTCCATTGTATAAGATGCTCGAGTCATTCTTGAAAGAACACAGTCCTTAAATTTTCTATTTTAAAATTGAGATTACTTGAGATGTTAAAGTAAACAGAGTGCAAGTAGCCAAAATCCCTAAAATGAGATTTCACAGTAGACTAAATGTTATTTGTAAACAGCAATTATGTTGACTAATACCTAAAATAGTTTTTAAAATGTGGTAGGTGAACATAACTGAATTTATATATTGGATACAGAAAGCTGGTTTCCAAGCAATTGAACATTTTGTATTTTTACATTAGCAAAAAATTCAAAAGATGTAGTTCTTAACGATCAAATAAAACATCACTAACATTCATTCCTTTAACAACTAAGTACTGGGTGCCCGCTAAAGCCTGGCACTCACTGTTCCAGAGGCAACAGTAAGAAAAAAGAAAGGTCTTTGCCCTCACAGAGCTTACGTTTTAACGTGCATTCGCAGGCGTCTTCAAACTACGGCCCTCGGGCCACATGCGGCCCGCAGAGGAGTCTGATCCGGCCCACCAGGTTTTTTGGGCAGTGAGCGCAGCCGAGGTGTTACAGTAGGAATTAGTAGTTCATATAGTCCGGCCCTCCAGCTCTCTGAGGGACCGTGATCTGGCCCCCACTTTAAAAAGTTTGAGGACCCCTGGTAGGGGGCCCTCGTGGGGGTCAGGAGAAAAAGCAAGAAGAGCAAAGGTCACCGAAAGCAAAAGGGAAGTAGCCCTTTTACACAGTATAGTCAGGGACAGCTATTTTGATCAAGGCAATTTGACCACAAACCTAAAGTGAGAGAATGAGCCTAAATAACTATGGGAAAAAGCAGAGGGGAACAGCAACTGCTAGGACCCCGAGTGGAAGCATACAGAAAGAACAGTGGGGGTTATGAGGGGCAAAGAGGCCTTGTGTGTGACATGGCTCTGAAAGGTAGGAAGTAATAGACTTCCAGAGAATAACTTGGCTTTTATTAATCGTGACACGGGAAGCCACTAGAGTGACATGATCTGCTCACTCAGGTGGCAAAACACACACACACACACACACACACACACACACACACACAACCACAAAGAACCCCAAAACTCAACCTCTTAATTTAATTGAAAACTAAAAGATGTTTCAGTGTTAGTATTAATTTTATGTAAGACATTTAGAAAATGAAAAACTCAGATCAATTCCCTTTTAATCTCTGAAGTTAAAACTGCTTTTATTACAAAAGTAAGACTTAGTACCACAATGTTAACCTTATTAAAAGGAGCTCTCGTGTACTAAGTAGCATTATGTTAGACTTTAAGAGGGAAGCTTAAGGACACTATTTGTCTTCTTTATTGAAGCATATCTGTTCTTTAAAATCACCAGTCAGTGCTACAGGCCCCAGGGAGAAGCTGATGGGGGAGACCATTGAAATGGGCTTAAAATTTCTACTTTTTAAAACTGTACAATAACAAAATTTAACAACACAAAGGCTTACAATTTCAATTAATTTATATTACTCAAGAAAACTACAAAATGCAAGCTAACCTTCAAGTGTGTGTTGGAGTTCCAACACTTGATTAATAAGTCGTGTTTTTTCCTCCAGTTCCACCTGATTTTCAGCATCAACTGCTGTAATAAAAAGGTTCAAATTTACCATTAACATTAGGTACCATTATGTGGGTAGCACTTAAAGATCTGCAAAATGTTTTATATTTATTATCTAACTTGATTTATGCAAGAGGCATATGAAGCAAAAAGTTCTATTCCCACACTACAGATGAAGACACCATGGTAAAGATAAAGTGTTTTGCCAATATCTCACAGTTAAGGAACAGAAGCTGCCTTGAATCCTTCCCAGAACTAGAAGGGATATAAATAAGTAAATTAGCCAAATCCAAAACTGTAAATATTCTTCTCTGTTCTTTCCATTACTTAATAAAGCAAAAGCACCCACAAAACCAGGATTATACAAAAGGAAAATAAAGAACATACCATCCATGTCAGCATTCATCATCTTGGGTAACAAACTTTTGGACCTTGGATACAAAATCCTTGGCGACTGGTCTGCAATCAGAAAAAGAAACATAAACACAGAGAAATGAAATTTAAGCTTGTTTTTCAAAAGAAAATTATAGGACCCAATGGGATCCTTTCACTTGCTTTACTGTTTCGAAGAATAAACACCCAATGGCTAAGTAAGCAAAGGATTATGTACAAATAGTTTACAAAGAGAAGAGAAAGAGCTGAGTTTCTGGGTTATCAGAGCAATACATAATGAAATACAACTGTACATCTATTATTTAAAAAAAAAAAAAAAAAAAAAAAAAAAGATCAGCCCTGGCCAGTGTTGCTTCATGGTTAGAGTGTTGTTCCATGTACTGAAGGGTCACAGGTTCAGTTACCAACCAGGACACATCCCCAGGTTTCTGTTCCATCCCTGATCTGGATGCTTATAGGAGGAAAACAATTGATGTTTCTCACATCAATGTTTCTCTCTCTCTCTCTCTCTCTCCCTCTCTCTCTCTCTCTCAATGAGGGAAGAGGAGAGATAATGATCAATGCTAGCAGTTATAGAAAAACTATTAAAATAATGTCATTGTGCATTAATATAGTAAATGCTTCACATATTTTAATGCATCAAATCAATATAACATTGGAATTTACAGATGTGGACACTACATCTCAGAAAGTCTATGCATCTTGCCTTAGATTTCTGAGCCAACGCCTGTACCAATTATTTGAACCCAGGTCTAACTATAAAGCCCCCTTTCCCATTATGCAATGGAAGACACGTTAATATGACTTTAATTCAAGTTTGCCAAACATTTTGCAACTCTTGATGTCAAATTCCTTTGATATTTCTACTAAGTAAGCAACTGAAGATAAATTACATTCCCTTCAAGCTGCACCAACTGTGAACATGGTTTGTTTGCTCGGGTCCGTTCAGGTTCTGACTTGTTCTGGTTACATAAATCCACAAATTAAGGGACTGTTTGGCCAAACAAGGATCTGAACGGGAAGCAGATCCCGCGGAGAAGGCTATGTATACTGTATATACAATCGTACATATTGTGTGTACAGCACAGACTAGAGAGAGCGAGCTGTGGAGCTCAGGTGCAGAAACGGGGTTGGAACCATGGCCTAGCACGTTCTTAACACCGTTACGTCACAGTGCTGGGATCCATGCACTGCACAACAAAAGCCCTGCTCTTCGGGAATGTATCCCCTTTCTCGGTTTTAGCAGAACCCCCCAAAACAGGTCACCCAAGAAGACGCTAACCCAGGAGCTACTTTTCAACGCCTGCACAGATGCCGCCAGCCCTCACCGTGCCGCTCATTTGCCCTCCTCTCCCCGCCTCGGCCTCTTCTCCCCCCACCTCCCCTCCGGGGCTGGGCAGAGCAGCCGCGGCCAAGTGCAGGCGCGCCAGGTCCCCCCGCGCCCACACGCCCCCCCGCGGCCCCATTTGAGGGCGGGGATGCTGGACAGCGGCCTGGGCTCCAGGGCGGCGGCAGGATGTTTCTTCGGGGGCAGTGGGCGCCCCCACGCCCGGAGGAACCTCTGGGCCCCGCGATGAGAAGATGAGAAAAAAGAGGCTGCGCGGCGGTTCTGCAAAGGAGCCAGGTCCCAGCCGCCCACCAGACGCCCAGGCCCCAGGCCGCTCCTCCCGGGCCCCGTGCATCGGGCGCAGTCCAGCCCGCCCCGGCCGCCGGGTCCTCGGCGGGACCGAGGCCACAGCTCCAGTCGCCCGGGCCAGGCCCTCTGCTGCCCACGAGCCCTCACCTGCCGATCCAGGCGCCGGGAGGGGTAGGTACCTGGAGGATGCTACAGGCCCCGACGCTGGGAGCGATTGCACCGGCAGCTCCGCCCCGCTCCGCCCACAGAGCCTGCGCCGAGCCGGGAGTCCCGCCCCGCCCCGCCAATCCCCGCTCCAGAAGGCACGCATGCGCAAGAGCCGCCCAGCGCCCCAATCGTCTGCACTCCTAGGTCCAGGCTCCACCTTTTGCCTTAACAACAAAAAAAAAGGACATTGGCATCCAATCAGCATTTAGGTCATCGGGGGCGGGTCCTGGACCAGCAACAGCCAATGACAGCACAGAAGGGAAGTTAGGCGTGGGAAAGCGACGCCAGCGGGGGGCGTTCCCAGGTCTCCGCGGGAGCCTGAAAAATGAGGTCACAAATCCGGTAGGGAAACTCTGACAGCTGTCAGGAAGGAGGTTGGTAAAAGGAAAGGCCGGGCAAGAGAGAAATCCAAATGTAAGGAAGGAGCATTCGTGGACATAACAGACAAAGAAGGCCAATGCAATGCCGCGGTTCCTCAATTCTGAAAGCAGACTCTTCCATATTTTTTTTTTCACTTCCCAAGTCGCAAATCTCCTAAATGCATCTCTAGTAGATTGTCCCTCTCCGCAACCCTTCCAAATACCATTTAATAATGTTTTAGAGTTGACAAAATACCTTCATTGCATATTGGTATATAGCGCTTTCTCTCACCTTGTTCCATATTCATCCTCGCAACAACCCACAGAGAGAAACCGAAGCTTAATAGTAAACAAATGTCTTGCTCAAGATAACACACGGACTGTCAGGCTTTGGAGTGTAATGTAATCTGGCTTGACACCATTCATAGATAGATGGCCCTTGACATAAAGCAGATCCTGTTGGTTTTCAATATATGTTGAGTACATGGTAGTAACATGTTCCTGAATATTAGGGGTGACATTTTGACTGTTTCTTAGCTTTTTACTTTGGGTGCAGTTTGCTGATATAGAAGATCTGAATTACTTTATGCTGAGTGAAAATAGACAGAAAATGTTCAGTCTGTATGATTTTATTAATACAAAGTTCTAGAGCAAAAAAAGCGTATCTAGTGTGATAGAAGCTAGAACAGGGGTTGCCTGGGGTGGGATGAATGGAGGGTTGACCTCAAAGGAGTATGAGGGAACTTTCTGGTGCAATGGAAATGTTCTATAATATCTTGATTGACGTGGTAGTTACATGGTGTATCCTGTAACTTAAAACATGTGTATCTGATGATGTATTATATTTCTGTAATAAAACCAACGAAGATTTCTTTAGGGTTTGAAATATTCTAGGCATGTTTCTTGTGTTATTCAGTCCTCAAACAATCCAATGATCTAGGTGTTATCAATCCCATTTTACAGATGAGAAAAATCAAGGTTCAATACCATATAGCTGAATCAAAACCTACCTACGAGTATCATAATACCGACTTTGTTGAATTTTTATTAAAATTGTCAAAATTAAGAAAAAATAAAGTACTGCAAACACTTTACAAAGTGAAATGCTTTGAAAACACAGCCCAAAGAAGGTGGGTTGGAACTTGCAGCCCAACCTAACCAACTCAAATTTGTACTAAGGCAAAAATACCAACATCCTTCATAGGACTGGAACAAAGGACTGGGGCTCAAAGGGTAACAGTCAAAATATCCAGGATGCAACATACAGTTATTAAATGTATGAAGAAGCATAAAAATCTCAACGCACATGAAAGTTATCAATAGATGATACACATGTTGAAATTATCTGCAAAAGATTTTTAAGCAGCTATTTAAAAATACTTGAACAAGTGATCTCTAAAAATCTTGAAAAAGAAATTATAATAGAAAGTATAAGCAACATAATAGAGCTATAAGTAAGAACCAAATGGAAACTTTATATCTGGAAAATAAAATAAGTGAAATAGAAAACTGTCTGCAAAGACTCAATGACAGGATGGAGATGAAAGTGGTAAGAGCTGGGACCGGTTTGGCTCAGTGGATAGAGCGTCGGCCTGCGGACTGAAAGGTCAGGGCAAGGGCATGTGCCTTGGTTGCGGGCACATCCCCAGTGGGGGGTGTGCAAGAGGCAGCTGAACGATGATTCTCTCTCATCGATGTTTCTAACTTTCTATCCCTCTCTCTTCCTCTCTGTGAAAAATCAATAAAACATATTAAAAAAAAGAAAGAAAGAAAGTGGAAAGAGCGACTGGAGGCTGCCTCAGTAGAACTCATCCAATCTGAGCAACAAAGAGAAAAATCAACAGAGAGAAAACACCCCATAACCTCAGGAATAAAAGACCACAAAAAAGATCTAGCACTTATATAATCAGAGTTCCAGGAAAAAAAAAAAAGGAGAGTATGGTACTGAAATGCAAGTGTGGAAAAAGAAGTGAGTGCATGAAACATTTTATTCTTTTGAGTTAATAAAGCTATTATAATAATCATATCCTGCATGCATTTTTCCACATGAACAACTATAAATGTACTATTGCCCACCCCTGTATATTTAAAGAAATTATGGCTCTTCAAGTTTGGGAAAAGACAATTTCATAAGGGGAAGGGGAAGATTAGAAAAATAATGTCTAAAAGGATCTGGGGATGGGGTGAAATGAAGACGACTTTGAGAAACGCTGTTCCTCACTGAGTACCAATATCACTAACATCACAAAAAGGACCCACCAGATAGCGATTACTTTCTGATGGAAGAAGGATGCACCACTCTCTGTGAATAGTCTTGTCAGAAAAAAAAGAAAAGAAATTGCAACCTGACCTGATCAAGCCCCCAAAATATCAATATATCAATTTTACACAAAATACAGAATATATATATATATTCTGTATTTTGTGTAAAATACAGAATATTTTATACCTCCTGGATAGCATTGGCAAAATATGGCTATGGAACAAAACAACAAGATAGTATAAGCAACATAATAGAATAACAATAAAGCATTCACAAAATATTGCAAATTGAATAAAACAGTGTTGTTGATACTTAGGTTCTGCCCTTGAAATAACAAAAACGTGAAGAAGAAAAAAGGCACACCCAAGTGAATATAAAAAGGGAGTTGAAATTTTGGCAAAGTAATAATGAAACAATAAAAAAAAAAACCACAATGCTCCTTTCTTTAAAAAAGAAAGTAATTTGCACCGGAGGAAAAAATGGAAAGAAAACCTGTAGGTAAAAAGATATTTAAAATACATATTTTTTAAAAAACAAAACAAAAATCCTATGGTTTATGTTGGATGTATCCTTGGATGATAAAAACCATTTAAAGGATGCAAGAAAATGATTGCTAGTCAGTAGAATATGGTTATTTTAGAGCATTCACCTGTTTTAAAATTCCAGAACCCAACATATATCTTGTTAAGATAATTTAAACTTTAAAGGAAGTCTAAAACAAACTAAAAAAATAACATACAAAAAGATAATCATAAGGTTAGAGAGCAATAGAGCATTCACAAAATATTGCAAATTGGATAAAACAGTGTTGCTGATACTTAAGTCCTGCCCTTGAAATAACAAAAATGTGAAGAAGAAAAAAAGGCACACCCAAGTGAATATAAAAAGAGAGTTGAAATTTTGACAAAGTAATCACAAAGTGAACATTCATTAAATTATATATTTATTTTATACAATGTTCCATTCTTGCATTATATTTTTTCCAATAAAATGGTTTAAAAGTAGGCACTGAAGTTTGCTTCTTTTGAATAGGGAAAACACACAAGTACAAATCGAAACCACTGAAATTGCATAGAAATATTTGATTATGATGAATATTCATATGATCTGGAATATGCATATATTAATGTCAAACTATCTAAATAAAAGCAGAAAATTAAAATATTTTCATAGAGAATGAAGAACTCCAAACCGAAAACTGTTGTTACAAGGCAATTAGTTTTATGAAGAAGAAATTATAATAAAATAGGGAACTTACAGATGATTTTGATCTTCCAGTCTGACACGCTCTCATCATGCACATAAAAACTTCTAACTTGTCTTTAGTAATTAGAGGGTTCTAAACATACTGTGGATATTTTAAAGTGAAATATGCTAAATGGAAGCATTTTGATAACTTTCAAGTGTAACCAGGTGTGTTCCCTGATATTTTAAGCTCATTGATTTGCAAAATGTGTTTCATTTCATTTCTAAATAAGTACTCATATAGAATATTTTCCTTTTTTTCCCCTTGAAAGGCTATTGAATTCGTTGGAGAATGAGTGCTGTCCCAAACTTGGTGAGTAAGGAATATATTCTACTAGCTGAAACTTGATTAACTAATACCACAGTTAATAGTATATCATATTGCTATTTGACAAATTAGGTTGTTTGTGTGTACTTTTCTCAGGATTATAATTTTCTGGTAATAACCAATAGTTAGCTAATTTGATCGGAATAATTTTCATTCATTTGTTAAATAGATAAAAAGAAATTACCAGTGTATTTTTAGAGTTTCTCAGATGAGAATCAGAAGGACATTCGGGTCTCCATGGAATCAAGTTTTGAACTTGGCAACATAATTTAAAATAATTAGGAATGATTATCCAGTCTTGATGCTTATTTTTCTCTTGACATAGTCTTGTCTAATCAGTGCTTCCCAAACTGCATACCTCTGGTTGTACAAAATGAGCTTTTAAAAATAGTTACAATAGCTGCATATTTTTAAAAATATGTTTTTACTGATTTCACACAGGAAGGGAGAAAGAGAGAGATGTAAAAACATCAATGATGAGAGAAATCATTGATCATCTGCCTCCTGCATACTCCCTACTGATGATGGAGCCTGCAGCCCAGTTATGTGCACTGACTGGTAATTGAACTGTGACCTCCTGGTTCATAGGTTGATGCTCAACTACTGAGACATGCTGGCCTGGCTACTACATGTTTTATTGTATTAAAAATATGAATACAACCACTCTCAATTTGCAGATGCTTTGCCTAGAACAAAGCCAAGTTAAAAAATAATACTTAAATGGTTAGTTTAATGTGGCAAAAACTATGACTTTGGTATGCAAATAACTGGTTTGAAAAGTCCTGATCTATCAAAAAAGCAATAAGCATTGGTTTGAAAATGAGGAAATCTGGGGTTCCAATTCTGGGTTTTAATCTGTATTTGTTCATTCAATTCTTCGTGTATATTTGCTGGTTAGAAAATTTATTTTAGTGTTTATTATGATCTACATAGTGTAGTGTATTTGAAATTGATGACACAGCTGGGGGGGATGAGTCACTTTACTATAGACCCCCGTTTCCTCAGATGAGGCTTTGGAATAGAGTTCATTCTGCTTCTCTAATATTGTATAAAATAACACCGAGGAATTTATCAGATAACAATACCAATGAGTTGTAGTAGATGGTTCCCCATATTTAAGAGTGAACCCTTGATGGTTTGGTTGTGTTTGTTTGTTTGTTTTTGTTTGCTTGTTTTTTACCATTGTGCTCTTGGCACCATGCCCGCCACAGGTTCTGAAGGTTCTCCTGAGTGAGTTTTCTTTGCTCCATTCCAGCTTCTATAGTTTGGGCTTTCTCTGAATCTCTATATATCGATCTGCCATTATCAATTATGTCAGCTAGGTACATCTTCCACTAAATTATTCTAAAGTAATCTGCTTTAAAATCAAAACTAATCATTGGGCTCTTGGAGCATAAAAGGAGTTCTGTTTTAAAAAGACAAAGTGATTACTTAAAGGGCATTAGGAATCAGTTATAGTGATAACTGATAATGAAAGAGTGCACATGATTTGCTAGCAAGGCTCTAAAATGCTACATTGCTCATGGGTTATCTTACTTTCAATACACAAGCATAATCTTCATCGTTTTCTGTTTCCCTGGTAACCACTTATACTTAAAATAATCAACTTGGGAGAGTTCTGTCAGGATGTGTCAGCATCTGAGATTTTACACTACTTACTAGCTAACAAGTTAGTCCGCTAGGATTTCATGAATGCCTGATTCCTTAAGTTCCTTGGGGGCACCAACTGATCTTCATTAGCGTAGCCTCATTGCCAACTACATGTGTGCACTGAAATATTGGTTGAATGAATGTTCTGCTCTGGGTCCTTACTTTTTCTGTCTTTATAAAAGGCAGTGTCTGAGCTATGTTAGAGGGTGACACTGGATTTCCACAGTGTCTTTCCTTCTCAGAGCTCACACTACTTTCTATCAAATTATCGTATGGCCCCCCATCATATTTGAGTGAGAAGCAGTTTTCTTCTTGTTTACAGTTATGGCTCTTCACCCTTCCACAACATGAGGCGCACGTGGAACATCACCTAGAATGACGACTGATGTCACCTCATAGCATATGTCTGACAACTGTCAGGAGGTATTAAGACAAAGACACCATGAATGTCATTTAAGGGCACAGATAGGGAACTGCTAATGACTTCCTTACATTTATATATTCTCTTTGAGGTGGAACACTGCTGACCTCTAGTGGCAAAATTGATTCAAAATAAGTTCTAATAGTGTGGAAGATGTGCTGATTTTGAGAGACATGTGAAAATACCAGTGCTAAGATTAGGGCCATGTATCAAAACGTCACTACTGCCTTTTGCAGCCTTAGTGATCCATGCACAAAGTGGTCTTAAAAAAATAAGGTGCAGAAGGTGGCAAATTTAGTTATAGGACACACAAAGCACAGAGGGAGGGTAGCAGGGGAGACAAGACATGCACTGTAAGCGCCAGCTTTCAGCACAGGCACAGCTTATCTTAATTTAATTTTTATTTGGAAACAATCTCAACTACTGAAAATTTGCAAATACTGTACACCAAGAAGGGTTCTTTTTTATATTCCTGAGTAATTAAGAGTTAGTTGCCAAACCAAATACTTGCTAATTATTAAAAGAAATAGGAGTAAGACACCACCATAATCGAGGCATCAAAGTTAACCTCACTAGTGAAGAGATACACAAAGATTATATACCACTAATGTGATGTAATGAGAACATAGTATCACTTCTGTGATAGTCTTGCCAAAGTATTGAGAAATATTTTATAAAATAACTACCCTATGATGTTTAAAAGCATCAAAGTCATGGAAGGCAAGTTAGGATTGAGGAACTGACACAGCTGAAGGAGGCTAAGGCCACATGACAAGTTCATGCAATGTATGTTCTGAACCAGGTGCTTTTGCTCTAGTGGACATTGTCTAGTCAAGCAGTGAAACTTCAGTGTGCTTTGAAGATTAGATGATAGTGATGTATGAATGTCATTTTCCTGATTTTGTCGGATTTATTGTGATTGTGAAGGAGAAAAACCCTTGTTTGTAGGAAATGTGCACTAAAGCATCCAGGGGTGACAGGGACATTGGTTTGGCAACTAACTTTTTTAAAAAATATATATTTTATTGATTTTACACAGAGAGGAATTGAGAGGGACAGAGAGTTAGAAACGTCAATGAGAGAGAAACATCGACCAGCTGCCTCTTGCACACCCCTAACTGGGGATGTGCCCGCAACCAAGGTACATGCCCTTGACCAGAATCGAACCCGGGACCTTTCAGTCCGCAGACCGACACTCTATCCACTGAGCCAAACTGGTCCTGGCGGCAACTAACTCTTAATTACTCAGGAATATAAAAAAGAACCCTTCTTGGTGTACAGTATTTGCAAATTTTCAGTAGTTTGTTTCCAAATAAAAATTAAATTAAGATAAGCTGTGCCTGTGCTGAAAGCTGGCGCTTACAGTGCATGCCCTGTCTCCCCTGCTGTCCTCCTCTGTGCCTTGTGTATCTTATAACTATTGTAAATTTGCCACCTTCTGCACCTTACTTTTCTAAGACCACTTTGTGCATGCATCACTAAAGTTGCAAAAGGCAGTGGTGAAGTTTTGATACATGGCCCTAATCTTAGCACTGGTATTTTCACATGCCTCTCAAAATCAGCACTCATGTTAGGATTCATCTTTTACTTCCACATACTAGAAAAACTAATGTCACTCTTATTTTTAAGAAAAAAAAATTATCATATAAATACCGTTTCCCGAAAATAAGACAGTGTCTTATATTAATTTTTGCTCCCAAAGATGCGCTAGGTCTTATTTTCAGAGGATGTCTTATTTTTCCATGAAGAAGAATACGGTACACATTTATTGTTAAATAAAAATAAAGGATATTTATTTCCTATATATGGTACGGTAGTATGGTAGTTGTCAGCACAAACCAGACAAACTGTGAATCCTACAGTATCAAGAATTTACTCATTTATTCAGTGACAATTATGTCATCATGTTCTGGAACATCATCATAACAATCCAATTCCTGAATTTCCTGGTGAATTTCTTGTGATTCCATTTCTTTCAGAATCAGTGGACCAAATCTCTCATGTTTAGCAATAGCACTGTCTTTAAATAAGTACTTCTTCTCAAGGTAGGCAGCCTGCTCGCAGTGCATTTGCAATGCAACTGTCAGTGATTTTCTCCCATGAATTCTTCACGCAAGTCACAACTTCTTGCAGTTTAGGTTTCACAAAGTTTCCATGCTAATTTCTCTCCATTCTATTTTCAATGTAGTTATTAATTTCCATGCGCAAATTGTCTTTCAATGGCTTGTTTATTGCAATATCAAGAGTCTGGAGATAGGCTGTCATTCCTGCGGGAATCATTATCTGATCTATTTTTCTTTTGTGAAGAAATGTCTTCATGTCTTTAGCTCAGTGAGTACTGGCTGCAACCCAGACTAGCAGACCTCTTTGGCTCCCTCGCATAACAAGCGGCAGCATTAAATCGACCCACTTCCTTATAACTGCTTGTGTGGCCCAGGCTTTTTCAGTTTCAAGAATAAAAATGCCCAAAACACGTTCAATCTTTTCCTTCTTGCCCTTAGAAATGATTAAAGGAGGGATTTTTAGTGCCATCCAGATGAATTGCCAAAATACAGGAAACACGTGCACTTTTGTAAGCAGTGGAGGGAATGTACACTAAGGAGGCACCCCACTGTTCAATTGTTGTTTGAGATGATTGGCCCATAAACACTGCAGTTTCATCCATAGCAATCATGTTGGATTGTATTTAGAGAAGTCAGCATCATCAATAAAGGACTTGAATGCAAGTGCTGGCTTAATAACTTGAGTATCTTCCAACCTAAACAATGTTGTAGATCTTCTTAAAGACAGTTCACTTCGCTGAAGGAAATTATCCAGCCAGTATTGTGATGCTTCGAAGTCTTCAGGGGATATGTCAAACTGTGGTGCCATTGCCATGGCAAATTCTTGAATCTGAGCCCTATTCACTACCAAA